CTGGATGTTCATCCATTGCAGAATCCCAGAATGGATTGTTCAACCACTGATCTCAAAAGACCTTAAGCATGATAATAATAGCTAGCCTCTCTGGAGTGCATGACACGTCCCTCAAAACCACCCTAGGAGGCAGAAATCAGTGAGAACATCATGCCAGATGCTGTTTCCTTTTCCGAAAGAAACTGTTGCAATTTTTGTCTGTATCCCTAGCATGTTGCTTCATGTCTTCTACATAGTAAGAGCAGCTTACTTATTTGGGGCACTGCAGTGGATAAAACACTGGGCCTGGAATCTGAGTTTAAACCTGGCCTCAGACACTTACTAGCTAGGTGACTGGGCAAGGCACTTCACCCTGTTTGCCTCAGTTTCCTCATCTGTAAAATGAGCTGAAGAAGGAAATGGAAAACCACTCCAGCATCTTTGCAAGGAAACCCCCGATGGGGTCATGAAGAGTCAGATACGACTGAAAGGACTGAAAAATAATATAGCAGGTGCTCAATAAACATATTTTGGATTGAATTGGCTTTTGAGTCTTCTAAACCGGACATGATTCATTTCGATTTCAACAGACTTCAAGAAGACATAGGAAGGAGAAAGTTTCTCCTTACGATAACTTTGGAAAGAAGGGGGAAGGATGTCCTTTGGACACTGGCACAGTTAGGTCATTCAAGGACAAACTCGACTCCATCATCAGATAAATTCTGCTTCTCTACAGCATGCTGGCTCTGCCACTTACTGCCTGTGTGACCATAGACCCACAATTCCCCCTTCTTCATCCCTTGGGTTCTCAACTCCGAAGTGAGGTGGGGTGCACGAATGATTTCTAGAATTGCTATTTTACACCTGTTGAAGAGTAGGGAGCTGGGGTAGAATTAATGACATTATCCCAACCTAGTAGAAGTGGTCTCTAGTGGGATGCCACAGGGCCCTGTCCCTAGCAACCTTTTTTGTCAGTGACTTAGATGGAGATACTTTCAGATGATGCAAAGCTGGAAGGGATAACTGACATCCTAGATGATAGATCTTGGCAGGCTGAAACAATGGGCCAAGTCTGGCATGATGAAATGCAATGTCTTACCCTTAGGTTGTGTAAAAAAATAAATCTCTTGCACAAGCACAGGATGGGGAAGATGTAAGATGAGGCAGCAGTTTGTGCAAAACTGGATGACCATTGTGAACTTGTTATGACTCAGCCATGTGTGTGACAGTGGAGCCAGCCACCGGCTCAAGCAACTTGGGCTTCAGGGATGGAAGCCAGGAATGAGGAGATGGAAGTCACTCTAGGCAGAGCCTGCAGCTGGCCCCCATCTAGAGCACCAGGCTCAGGGCAGGTGGAGACCACAGTTGAGGACCCTCAGCACCAAGTGGGAGAGTATTCAGAGGGCAACCCGGACAGTGAGGGGCCGTGGGATATGGGAAGGGGCTGTAGGAACTCAGAATGTTTAGTTTGGACAAGACTCAGGAAGGGGCACAGTGGCTGGTTTTGAGTCCTTAGAAGACTGCTAAGGGGATGAGGGATTAGCTTCATTCCACTTGGAAGAGAGAGTGAGGCTGACACCTTTGCGCAATCCTGCCTCACTTAAATCCAATTCACACGCAAGTCAAGGCATTACCCATGACGTCATTGGTCCTCTTCAAAGAGGAAGAAGGATCAACAGCTTGGCCCCAGAAGGCAGATCCAGGGAGGGGGTGGGGCTGAGGCAGTTGTGAAATGGAAATCTAGGGAAATTTTTCGAATTAGAATTATTTCCAAGTGGAATGAGCCTCCTCTTGGAAGGTAGTGACTTCCCCCCTGTTGGAAGCCTTCTGGAAGAGGCTGGATTGGAATCCAAGCCAAAATGAGAAAAAATTGAAGGGGCTATTTAGCCTGGAGAAAAGAAGATTGAGAATCTGGCCTTAGACCAAACACTTGACAGTTACTAGCTGTGTGACCCTGGGCAAGTCACTTAACCCCAATTGCCTAAAAGTTAAAAAAGAAAAAAAGAAGAAGAAGACTGGGGAGGGGAGGGAGGGTGCAATAAGCTATCTCCAAGTGTTTGTAGGGCTGGCGTGGGGAAGACGGATCACACTTTTCTGCTTGGCCCCAGTGGGCAGTGGGTGCGAGTTATGCTGGGGGAGATTGAGGCTTGATGGCAGGATGAACTTTCTAATAACTTGTCCTTGTTCAATGGTTTTCCAGTCCTGCCTGACTCTTGGTGACCTCATTGGGGTTCTCTTGGCAAAGAGATTAGGCTGGTTTGCCATTTCCTCCTCCAGCTTATTTTACAGATGAGGAAACTGAGGCAAACAGGGTGAAGTGACTTGCCGAGAGTCACACAGCTGGTAAGTGTCTGCAGCCAGATTTGAACTCAAGTCTTCCGAGCTCTATCCACTGAGTCACCTGTCTTCCTAATAATGGAAGCCAACCAAAAATAGGAATGAATGTGGATTCTCCTGGTGGAATTTCTTCTCTGGAAGGCTGGAGGCCAGTTTATCACCAGAATGAGAAGGCTCCTTGAGGGCATCCTGTCTTTGTATGCCCAACAGCGACCAAGGCGCTCCTTCCTTGTGCTGCTTGTCCCATTGAAGCTGTGGAAGAGATCCTTACACAGTCACGGCCTCAGAGACCCCTTCCAGCTCCGAACATCTGAGCCAGAGATTGTGACCCGTGGTGGCTAGCTCACCACCCAGACTGGGTGAATTCCTCTTTCCAGGAAGCTTCCCTGTCAGCCTTTTCTCAGGAGCGATGTTTTCTGAAAGCCATCTTTGTGGAATGGCTCTAGTTAGCCCTCAGTTAGTGAACATGCCAAGAAGGCTGAAAGGCTGCTGTGGAAAGAGTCTGCCCCCTGGAGAAGTGGCACCCTCCGCCTCCCCATGTCAGTACTTTCGGGCAAAGCCCCATTGGCCTTGCGCTAGTTACACTTCTGGCCCCATCGTTTCTCTGGCAGACTAGGAGCTCTGCTCACAGCAGCTTTGACAGGGAGCTAGGGGTGTGTTTCGTTCCCACTTAGTGTCAGAACCAAAGGAGCCCTGTGCCTGAGGGATGTTCTGCTGTATGACCTTGGCGTGCTAGTCTCCTCCGGGGCTCAGCTTCCACCCTTCGTATGATGGAGGGGTTGGGTTCGCTGGCCTCCAAGGGCCCTCCAGCTCTACATCTGGCTCTCTCTGATTGGACAGCTCCTCCTAGTACCTTCTCTAGCACCTGCTCCCATCAGACTCAGGACTTCTCCAACATTGCCTGCATTGGGCACCTTCCTTATCCATGCCCACCCACTCCTTCAGCTTCCTTCTCTGTATTGTCTCCCTCGTGAGCGGGAAAGCTCCTTAGGGGCAGGGACTGTCTTCCTTTCTGCTTTTGTTTATGTTCCCAGCCCAGTGCCTGGCACACAGTAGGTGCATCATAAGTGCTGGGTGGCTGACTAAATAAAGGCACACATGTAATGGCCATTGGGCCATTGAGCTTACAGAGCCCCTCATGAGTTTGCACCGTCCGGGACCGAGAGGCTGCTCAGGGACCCAGGCCAGCAGGACGTGAGACAAGGACTCATCCTCCAGCAGTCAGGCTGGAGTTCTATGTGAACCTGGTGGGACCAACGCTAGGTAGAAGCCAGGCTAAGTCTGAGCCCACATTCCTTGGTGTTTGAGGCATTATAGGGGAGAATGCGCATGCAAAGTACTGGGGGGAATTGGTTTCATATTTGCTCTTGAACATCTTTATAATAACTCTTCATGTTAAATAGAACTGGAGTATTAGTCCCTTTGGGCCACTAGGTGGCACAGGGGATAGATCACTGGGCTTGGAGTCAGGAAGACCTGAGTTCAAATCCAGCCACAGACACTTACTAGCTGTGTGACCCTGGGCAAGTCACTTCATCCTGTCTGCCTCAGTTTCCTCATCTGTAAAAAGAGCTAGAAAAGGAAATGGCAAAGCATTCCAGTATCTCCCAAGAAAGCCCCAAATGGAGTCATAGGGTTGGATGCAGCTGAGAAACAATTAATCTCATTGGTGGCTAACAGTGGGAGAAATACCACCAGTGTGGGCTTGAGTGACAGCATTAGAGAAGATACCCCAATTGCTCAGGGCATCCCCAGACCCTTGAGGGAGAACGGAGCCTCATTCTGGAATAGTGAACTAGAGTATACTTGTTACACACACACACACACACACACACACACACACACACACACACACACACACACATGCACACACATTCACACCTACTCATTCAGATACTATAGATACAAGCTGTCACTGACTTAAGGCAAATTGCTGAACATCTCTGGGCTTCTGTATGGTATCAATGACCTCCGAGGGCACTTCTGTTACTAAGTCGGTGCCTCTGTGATCGACCATAGGTCCTCTGCATCAAGTCCCCAGCCTCCCCCCAGTTCCCAAAGCCTAGCACCCAAGACCTCACCCCAAGAGCCCATTCTGACTCTGTGGGCCTTAATCACAATCCCTCCCCTTCCCTCCTGCCAATAGACAGACACACACAACAGCTTTAGAAAAATAAGTGAGTTTTAAATACATCAGATATCAATACCATACTGTTAAATACATGTCTAATAAATAAATATAAATAGAAACTTGATAAATTATTCTCTGTGCCCTCAGGGATGGGCAGGAATGGGAGGGGGTCTTGGATCCCAGGGAATCATCCCTGGGGGACACTTGCTGTCCAGCAGCAGTTTCTCCCCAAGTGGCAAAATTTCTGTCTCAGTGAGTCATTGTTGTAGGGGGCAAACCATTGGCACAGAATAAGGTTGGCCCACGTCACCAGGGGAGGTGACCCCTTTGTTGCCCTGGGAGTCGTCTCCAGTATCTGTTGGGAGGTAAGGGAGTGAGAGGCGGGAAGACTAGCTCCTTAGCACAAGGCTCCTACTGGCCATATACTTTCCTGACTCCCCCCATGCCCAAACCATCCACCCCAGCCCTCAAAAAAGGAAAACTCTTAGGGGCCAGGGGGAGGTGGGAAAGGCAAAGTCAGGGAAGAAGGAATGGAGCTAAGGCCCCCAGAAGAGAGGGTAAGGGGGTGGGGGTGGGAACAAGTCAGGCACTGGGCCCTGAGTCAATCCTTGTCATCAGACCCCTGAATCAATGGAAAGTCGGCCTCTGATTCACGAAGAGTCACAGGGCATTGAGCTCTGCTGGCCCCATGACCTGAATGGACAGCCCCGAAGGAGTAGAGAAGGCCTGGGGGAGGGCATTCAGCCCAATAATAGCACTATATCAATCAGTCTTTGGGGAGATGTCAGGAATCCCCCCTCCTGTTAAAGTGCACCATTTCTAAGCCCAGAGTGGAAACCGGCAGAAAGGCGGATAAGCAGGTGAGCCCTTGGGCCCACGCCTCCATCTCCCTCATTCTTCAGGCGGCCCAGCAGAGATCTCTGGTGCCACTTCCTGCAGGCTGACGTAGTACCATGCCCCTGGGGTTGAGTCAGCCTGCCCTGACCTTCCTCCTTTGGCCAAGCAGGACATTGAGAAGGGAACGTCTATTCCTATTTCTCTGCCCAGGGCTAGGACCCCACGTTTCTAGCACCTTTCCCACAGCCTCCATGAAGCGCTGGTAGCTCTGTATGACCTTACATCTCTCTAGTTTCCATGAGAAACTTCCCACGGTTGGAGTTGGGGACAGGGTCCTTTTGCTTCCAGGAGCAGGACAGGCAGTCGGAGCCGGGGGCAGTTTCTGAAGCATGCAGCAGACGTTGTTATCGATGCCTTGAAGGTAGATGTTCATTGCCTCGAAGACGGGTTCCTTGAGTATCTGTACAACGTGGCGCAGGTTCTGACTCACAGTCTGAAGGAAGGTGACTGGAGGTAAGTCCTTAAGGGTTTCCGTCACGAGGAAGTCCGAGCTCCTTTTGCAGGTATCATTGAGATGTGGTAAGTTAAGGCCTTGGTCAGTCATCTGAGGAAGAAAGAGATGGGCGTTGGGGACCTCTAGAAGCAAGACCTCCCAGCTCTGTTCAACCTAGGGTAGAGGTTCCCCGAATGATGGGGGGTCCAGTCCTAGACAGATGGAACGGGGACATCTGAGAGAGATTTGAGGGATCAGCTGGGCCAAATTTCCTTGTGGGACAGGGCAGGAAATTGAGGCCCAGAATCACGGAATGTCAGAGTGAGCAGAGGCCATTAGGGTAGCCAGGAGCTGATCCAAAATTCCTTCTCCAATGCTTTCCAGACTTTTCCTGAAGTCTTCCATTTATGGGGAGCTCTCTGCCTTCTAAGGCAGCCCATCTCCCTATGGGACAGTTTCACTGAGCCCTCGTCTCCCTGCAGACAGACAGCTCGGGTCCCCAGAGGAAACTTCCCAAGCTCTTGGGGAATTGTAAGCTTCCCCACAGGAATCATCTAGGCTTATAATCCTGGAGGTGGGAAAGAGCCCAGAGGCATCTACTCTGATGCTTCCATTTTATGAATGAGGAGGATTTCATGGGATCATAGATCTGGATTGGGAAGGGACCTCAGAGGAGGAACCACGGGCCAGGAGATGAAGAGGTAGGGAGGAAGGGCCAGAGGTGGGATTTGAACCTGGCTCCTCTGGCTCCAGAGGCAGGATGAGCCATATCCAGAAGGAGGAGGTGGAGGAAGTGGGAATATTTAGGCTGGAGAATGGAAGCCTGGGAGGGCTTGGAAGCAGGACTGACTTGCTTCTGCTTGGCCCAAGAGGGCAGAGCTTGGGTAAGAAAGAGGTAGATCTCTGCTTGATGTAAGCATTTATTAAGGCCTTATTGAGGACAGCTGGGTGGCACAGTGTATACAGCACAGGCCCTGGAGTCAGGAGGCCCTGAGTTCAAACCCAGCCTCAGACACTTACTAGCTATTTGACCCTGGGCAAGTCACTTAACCCCGATTGCCCCCCCCCCAAAACAGCTTTACTGTATGCCAAGCTTTGTACTAAGTGCTGGGTATACAAAGTAGGCCCTGCCCTGAAAGAGCTGGCATTCCAATGGGAAGATAGCATGCAAACAGCTAGGTACAGACGAGATAGAGAAGAAGGAAAATAGTGGAGAGAGTGTGCCAGGCCTGGAGTCAGGAAGACTCCTAATCCTGAATTCAAATCTGGCCTCAGACACTGACTGGCTGGGTGACCCTGGGCAAGTCACTTCACCTTTTGGCCTCAGTTTGCTTATCTGTAAAATGGAGAAGGAAATGGCAAACCACTGCAGGATCTGTGCCAAGAAAACCCCAAATGGGGTCATGAAGAGTCAGATGCGGATGAAAGTGATTGAAGGCACTGCACCGGAGAGAAAGGTGTGTGAAGACTGGAAAGGTAGGAAGGAGCCGGCTTGGGAAGGGCTTTGAGTGAATGCCAAGCAGAAGACTTTGCATTGGGTCCTGCAGGTGGTCACTTAGGGCTTTAAAGAAAATTGCTTTGATGACGGATGGAAGACAGACTAGAGCAGGGAGAGAGGCGTGCTGAAGGGAGACCGCGCAGGTTATCGCAATCATCCTGCAGAAGGAGGATGAGTGAAGACAAGAGGAAGGCTAGGAGAGGCGCAGAGAGGGTAGAAACATTCTTCAGTGACAGTTCAGCTGAGGATAAGGATGTCACCGAGGGTTGAGCCTGGGTCACTAGGAGGAGGGCGGTGCCCTCTACTGTGAAGAAAGCCGGGAAGAGGGGGGAAGATGAGCCCTAGTTTGCACGGGTTGAGTTAGAGGTGCCTGAGATGTCCACCAGACAGGCAGTGACGGGAGACCGCAGTTCAGGAGGAAGAGAAGAATCCATCGGAACCAATAAGTCACCGTGTTATAGGTGGAGAAGAGCGGAGAGCCCATGGTAGAGCCTTGGGGGACATCCCTAGGTAGTGGGTGGGAAGTGTCCTACTCCAGACATTTCCTTAACTGTATGACCCTGGGTGCATCATGTAACTCCCCTCAACCTCAGTTTGCTCATCTGTAAAATGGGAATAAGAGCAGAACCTGTCTTCTAGAGTTGTGTGTGTGTGTGTGTGTGTGTGTGTGTATGTAGCTAGCTATGATGATGACAGACAAGGGTAATGATGTCACACACTATAAATTTGGTATTGTTACAGCTAGCAGAGATCTCAGAGGGCATTAAGTCCAATTTCTTCATTTGACAGATAAAGAAACTGAGGCTAAGAAAAGAGGAGGGATTCCACAGAATCCATCGTGTCTATGATGTCCCCGCCAAAGGGTCAATCAGCCTCTGCTTGAAGCCACCTAGATACAGGGAGCTCACTACCTCCCCAGGTAGCCCATCCCACTTCAAAGTTCTTGTTAGGAGGTTTTTCCAAACCCACGGAGGCTGGCCTCTGACCTCATCATTGCACTGACAGCAGTGCTTTCTTAACTGCCCAGTCCAAGGGCCTCTCCTCACTCCGCGTCCTCCCTGACCTCTCTGCTGCTGTCGGCACAGCCAGTCACCCTCCTCTCCTGGGCATTCTCTCTTCTGCTACTTCATGGCCCTGCTATCTGGTTCTCCTCCTCCCCCTCTGACCACTTCTGCTCAGTCTCCCTTGCTAGGTCTTTATTCAATGAGCCACATTTTTATACTGGTGAGACAAGGACTTCATGGGCATCAAAATCAACCTTATGGAGGAAATAAAAGGAGGAAAGAAGACCCAAGTGCAGGCAAAAATGTGTGGGGAAGTGCCTCAGTTTCCTCATCTGTAAAGTGAAGGGGTTGGGGCACAATAGGGGCCTGGAGTCAGGAAGACTCATTTTCCTGAGTTCAAATCTAGCCTCAGCCACCTCCTAGCTGTGTGACCCTGGGCAAGTCACGTCACCCTGTCTGCCTCAGTTTCCTCACTTGTAAAAGGAGCTGGAGAAGGAAATGGCAAACCACTGCAGTATGTTTACTGAGAAAACCCTACAACGGGGTCACAGAGAGTCAGACTTGATTGAAAAATGATTCAACAATAAGAAAAAAAATTAAGGGGTCTGGTCTTGAAGGATGCTTCCATCTACAAATTTATGATCCTTTGATATCCCCTCCCTTGTTCCTTGCACTGATTGGGAGCCATGCCTAAAGCCATCATCCTCACTCAGCATTATCATAGCTAATGTTTAAATGACCGCGTTAGCATCTCCAAAGCAATATATGTGCACGTGCGTATGTATACAGACGTATCTATGTTACATGTGCATCAAATATTACTTGATTCTCACAACTTTGGGAAGTAGGTGTTGTCATCCTCATGTTACAGATGAGGAAAGTGAGGCTAAGAGAGGTTAAGTGACTCGCCCAGGGTCACATACAGCTAAGGACCTGTCAGAGGCAGGATTTGAATTCAGGACCTCCTAACTTCAAGGCCAATGTTCTACCCACTACACCCAGCTGACCATCCCTCAGCACAACAGGGGAGCCTTAATAGACTAAAATGGTGAAGGTCATTTGGGGACAGGGATGGGGCAGGCACTTACGAAGGAATTCAAGAAATCTCTCTTTGCCATGTTCTTCAGTTGAGAGAGGAGGATCTCGTAGGCAGGGCAAGTGATTCCGGCCGCTGGGCACAGCCACAAAAGACCACAGGTCAAGCCTGGAGCAGGAGAGAGCGGGGGACACCATGGTTGGGGGGAGGAGGAGGACCTGAGGGGACCAGCTTGGTCCTGGGATGGAAGGGTCCCAGTCACGGAATGGAAATAAATCAGTGCTGGAAGGAAATTGCCTCATTTTGGAGAGGGAGAAACCAAGGCCCATAGAAAGGAGGTGACTTACCCAGGGTCACCTGGGTTTCAATCAGTGGGCCCAGGGCTACATCTCAGCTTTGCCACTTTCTAGCTGCATGACTCCCAAGTGAAGGGATCGGGCTAGATGTTCTTTGGAGCCTGTCAGGGTTGGGGGGGGGCAGGATTCTCACTCAGGTCCTCAGGCTGTAAGGCAGGGCTCTGGCCCTTATTTCCAGGGGGGATTTCTAGCTTGTCTTCTGCCCATCCCCATGACCTCCGGGTGTCTGTCCCTTTCTCCCAGCTGGATTAGGAGAGAGGCGGCATCCTCCAGGTAATCTCGGAGGGGGGGAGGAGAGCAGAGGCAGGGTCCCGGAAGGGCTGCCGAGGTTAGTTGCTGGTGGGACCAGCCCAAAGCAGTTTCAATTTACTTCTACAGTACAGAACTAGTAATTAGGGGGACTGGATTCAAATCTTGCCTCAGACTCATCACCTAACCACTCTGTGCCTCAGTTTCCCCATCTGTAAAATGAGGGGCAGGGATCTGACCTCTAAGGTTCCTTTCAGCTCTGTCTATGACAAATGGGAAGCAGGTCCAGTAGAAGCCCCATGAGGTCTGGCATCAGAAGACCTAGGGTCAAGTATGGCTTCTGCTACTTTCTAGCTGTGTGACCTCAGGCAGGTCACTTCCCTGCTGTGTCTGGGCCTCAGTTTTCTTCTCCGCCACAGACAACACGACTTCGGAGCTTTTCAGATCTTATCACTTGGGTTCCCACCTACCCACCCAGGAGGAGATGGGGTCTGGGGCCCAGCAGGGGAGGCTGGAGCCAAGCCCAGGGCTGAGCCAGCAGGGGGAGGGGAGCAGTTACCGCTCCTAGCCCGGGTGCCAAGCACTGGGCAACCACATGGTCGGAAGGGACTGGTTTCGCAACGAGAGGAAAGTGGCGACAGCTGCTTCTTCATTTCCTAAGAACTCGCTGGGTCCCAATGCGCTGCAGCCGCAGCCAGGGCGGGCGCCGGGGAGCCCAGCCTCCCAAGCGCATCCCTGACCTGGGCCTGGCCGGTGCCTCGCCTGCCCTGGGCATCCGCCACAGGGGGGCTGAGACCATGGGCACGCGTGTAAGTCTGAGTACACGGTGTGTGCGCACCTGCTCTGCCGTCACGTATGAACTTCGGGGCCTGGGGGGAGGAGGGGCGCAGCGGACGGGGCAGGGGCGGGGTAGGAGCCTTGCCCTCCTTTGTTCAAAGAGAAGGGGAGAGCTAGCTCCTCCGGAGGGCTGCCCTGAATCGTGCTCAGCTGTGTGTCTTTGGGTCTGCCCGAGAAGAGAGACCCTGTGTGAGGCAGGGCCCGAGAACGTGTGGTCACCTGTGTCTGTCTCTTGCAGCTTCTGGGCAGGTGCTCATGTGTGTCTGGCTGTGGACTTGGATCTGGAGGGCCTGGATGGGAATCCAGCCTTGGAAACTAACTGACTGTGCGACCCTGGGTGAATCATTTCATTTCTCTGGGGCTCAAAGTAATAGGCCCTTTGTGACATGCCCACACCGATGAAATCACAGGTCCTAGATCCAGGGACACGAGAATTAGATGAGGTAATGTGCAATATAGGTGAGAGCAGGGTATTCCCACTAAGTGGGCAGAGTTGTGTAAAACCTAAAACCCTTTACAAGTAGCAGCAAATATGACTATGCGATTGTGCTGTTGGGTTGTGCATGTGGGGTTGGGTCATGCATGGAATTATGCATGTGTTGGTGCAGTTGGGTATGTGACAAGCCGTCAGGGGCCAGGACCCCGGCTTCCTGCAGTTTCCACCCACCCCAGCACCAACAGGAGAGGCCCTCAGCCAGCCAGAGAGGGTTCAGTAGCTGCCTAAGCCCCGGCCCCCACCTTCCTCCTTCCCAGGGCCATGTCCATGCCTCAGCCACACATCTGGACCAGTCCAGTGGAGAATCCTTCCCTCCCTCCTGCTGCCCTGCTCCCTTAGATACCCCCCACATCTCTTCACCCAGCCCTGCCCCATCCCTCGGTCCAAACCTGCCTTCACCATGAGCCTTTTACAAATCAGCCTCACCCTACCAGGGCATCCCCTTGGGCCTTCAGCTGATGCCTCTGTATCGTAGGACTCGGGGATCGCTTGTCCCATTCAATCAGCTGGCCCACAGGATGCCTTCTAAGCGGCTTCTTGAACAAAGTGTCTGAGTCTGAGGGGTGCCTGCGGCTTCTCATCTCCGCCCCCCCCCAGTCCCCGCAGTCTGGCTGCCTGCCTGAGTGAATGGGGTATGGGAGGAAGTACATACCGAAAAGAGAGCTCAGTCTGAGCCGTGCCCACATACTGGGTGCCGGCAGCTGGAGCGGGGCCTCCCTCGTCAGAGCCACCTCTACACTGAAGGCCTTGTGGACCGAGGGCCACTTTATCCTCCCCCGACCGGCCAGCACCTCCCAGGATGGGGGTGGGGGCAGCTCTTCTGGGAACACGACCCCGAAAACTAGTGGGTCCGGGCGGAGTCAATGGGCGGTCGCTTCTCTGACCCTGGGCGCCTCCTAGAATTCTTCGAATTCAACCATCTTTGAGGTTAAGCCGTCTTCCCCCCAGGGTGTCACGGCACCCACACCCACGGGGGACAGGGAGGGGGTGTCCCTCCCTCCAGAAGGGGGAGATGCTGGGTCAGGCCCCCCACTTCCCCACCCTGGAGTCTGTGGTCACCCAGACCATCAGCTGTTTTGCCAGGACATCCTAGGAGGGGGGGCCCAAGGTTGTGGTTTGTGGGGAGAGGGAAGGGGCCCCGAGGTGGGGTGGGGGTTGGGGTAGGGGGTGGAGAGGAAGCCATCGCTCTACTCTGGCTCCCAACCCGCCACCACTCTTGGGACATCTGTATGTGGAAACCACCAGCCTTCTGGGCACAGAGCCAGGTGCTAGACAAGTCCCCTCCACTTGGCGCTAGGGTCCTAAGGTCTTGGCCCTCAGCACTTAGCATTCCCCAGCGGTACCCGCTGGTCATATTCCTCCTTCTGCCTTTCTATCCCCCCTGCTTGGGTCCCTTCCTTCCATCCACCTCCTTCTCTAGACCCTCTTGGGACAGAACATCTTCACAGCCAAACCGCTAAGCCAGCAGCCAGAAGCCAGAAGCCCTGCCTACCTTCCAGTCATGACACCAGGGTCTTGGGTGACCTTGAGGAAGTGGTTTACCTTCTTTCTGCCTCTTCTTTATCCATGAAAAGCAAAATAGCAACCCTTGCCTGGTAGCCTTTATGGGTGCTTGGGAGGATGTAGAGTCGCCCTTTAATAACTCATTAACAAGCTTAAAACGGGGGTCGTAGGGGGAGCTGGGCACAGCGGGGAGAAGGCTGGCTCAGTCCTCCCAGGAGGGAGGCCGTGACTCACAGGGCCTTGGTTTCACTTTCTCCGAATGAGAATCCTTGAGCGCATGGAGTTCCATCACACTTTTCAAAGAATCTTCCTGTCATATCTTAACCGAAAACCGCCCGAGAATGAAGGCAGCTTCCTTCCCTCCACTCAGAAATCAGGGGGCTGGACTAGGTAAGCTCTACAGCCCTGGCCCCTCCTGGTGTTCTACGTTATTGCACTCAGCTCAACTCAAATATTTCTCTGGCGTGCCTCCTGTGGGCCAAGCACTGTGCTAGGCACTGAGGGGATGACAAAGGGAAACCCCCCTGTCCTCAGGGAGCTCACATTTGAGGGGAGCTCAGGAGTCAATATGAAGAGAGAGCAGGCGTCTTCAATCCAGGCCTGTGATTCTATCCATATGAGGAACTCCCAGTATGGAAAACTTTATCCAATGGTGCACAGCAGAAAATCATTTGCAGTATAAGGTCGGAAAGAGTTTGCTAGAGCACTGAGAGATTGATCTGACCAGGTCACCCAGGCAGCTGGTGGGCAACCTGGATGCCGATGGCATCAGACCAGTCCTATGTTTACAGTGCCCTCTCACTTACAAAGTAAATACAGGATTCTTTGAGGGGCTGAGAAAAAACACTAAAATTCTAGGTTCCGAGGTACCTCCCAGCTCTGACATTCCCTGTTCTACAGCCCCTCCCAATCCTAAGATTCTCTGTTCTAAGGCCCCTTATAGCTCTGACATTCCTATTCTAAGGCCCTCCCAGCTCTGACATTTCCTGTTCTAAGGCCCTCCCAGCTCTGACATTCCCTGTTCTATGGCCCCTCCCAGCTGTGACATTCCCTGTTCTATGGCCCCTCCCAGCTCTGACATTCCTATTCTAAGGCCCTCCCAGCTCTGACATTTCCTGTTCTAAGGCCCTCCCAGCTCTGACATTCCCTGTTCTATGGCCCCTCCCAGTTGTGACATTCCCGGTTCTAAGGCCCCTCCCAGCTGTGACATTTCCCTGTTCTATGGCCCCTCCCAGCTCTGACATTCCCTGTTCTATGGCCCCTCCCAGCTCTGACATTCCCTGTTCTATGGCCCCTCCCAGCTCTGACATTCCCTGTTCTATGGCCCCTCTCAGCTGTGACATTCCCTGTTCTCAGGCCCCTCCCAGATGTGACATTCCCTGTTCTATGGCCCCTCCCAGCTGTGACATTCCCTGTTCTATGGCCCCTCCCAATCCTAAGATTCTCTGTTCTAAGGCCCCTTATAGCTCTGACATTCCTATTCTAAGGCCCCTCCCAGCCCTGACATCCTGTCCTATAGACTATGTCCTCTTCCCCTTTGTCTGGCCATGGTTCCTACCTTCCAACTTCTCTGTCATCTCAGAGTAGAATTCGCAAGTCCTAAAATCAGACTATCAGAGTGGGAAGGGATCAATAATCATAAATTCACAATTACTTGTTGCTCGATGGACCACAGGGGTAGGCTAATCCCACCTTCCTCCCACGCCCAGAGTTGTTGCAGTGGGTGTCAGGGAGCTGAGGGGTTTCCTCAGCTATTCCCCGGGGCCTCGGGGGGCTGTGAGGGAGGGTCAGGGCTCTGTGGTGTTGGTTTGGGAGGCTTGGGGGAGGGCACCATTGACTCCAGACGCGAGGAAAGATGAAGATGGCCACTGAGGATGTCCCCCTACCCTCCTGCTGAGGTGCGGAGCCAGAGAAGGCCAGGCCAGATGGGAGCATATTCCAAGGCCAAAGACTGATGCAGTCCCCAGGTCCCCCACCAAAGATGCCAACTAAACAGTGATGGGGGGTCCTGTGAACAGCGTGGGATCCTCGCCAAGCACCCCATGCATCATGCAGGGGATGCATCAGCACTTCCAGTGAGGTCAAAGGCCCGGTGACGTCCTCCCAATAGCAGCCGCAATTAAAGGAACAGGTTGCAACACAGGCCTGGTCCCTGGTATAAATAGAGCCCCAAGTGACCGCAATGCCCCAGCCTTTCTCCATCTTCCTGGACAACGTCAGCTGGGCCCTCGTGACTTGGGGAGAGGAACTGAGGTGAGGGAGGGACTTCGGAGCCATCCGGGTTTCTTAGAACCGCCCTTCTTGGGCCCGTGCCTCATGGACTTCCAAGGGTGGCATCCCGCTAAGCCCAGTCATAGGCAGGATGGTGAGGTCATTGGTGCGGTCAGTATCTGCAGGCATCGGCAAGATGCCAGAGGGTCCTCCTTTCCTTCGTAAAGATGAGTGAAAATGACTTATGTGCAGGAGCTTACCCGCGAAAATAGGCAAACCGGATCCACATGTAGACCGATTATAAAACACAATCTGGCAAAAGGGGCACTCAGAGAGACTGCCAGTGCCCAGCAGAGGCATTGCATGGGTGGGGCCAGTCACCAGACCTCACCAGGGTTTGTTCTTCTGCCTCTAAAAGAGGTTCACGGCTCACCTACCTACCCCCCAGAGTCATTCTGTGGACCAGGAAAACATTAGGTAATGTCAGCTTCCTCTATGGGGTAGACAGGATGAGTTTGCAGAAAACCGGTCAGTGCCAAAGGCCAAAAGAACTCGCGATGGGGCTGGTACGTTCATTGATGTGAAGAGGACTGCAAGTCACTTGTCCTTTGCCTCGTCTCCATCTCTGAAGAGGCAAGGAACCTGTCTCTGGAGCCAGAAGACCAGGACTTGAGTCTCAGCTTTGTACCAATTCACCAGGCACCCTTGGACAAATGACCTCTCTGTACCTTTAATATCTTCATCTATAAAATGGGAATATGAGAGGGAAACAGCTTTTGATGAGACTACATTGCAAAAGATGAGGACTTTTTTCTGAAAGATATGAATATAAATGTAATAGACAGGCATACCTCATTTTATTGTACTTTGCAGATATGGCATTTTTTTAAAAAACAAACTGAAGATTTATGGCAATCATGCATTGAACAAGTCTATTGGTGCCATTTCCCCAACAACATGTGCTCATATAGTGTCTCTGTGTCATATTTTGGTAATTCTCACAATATTTCAAACTTTTTCACTACTATTGTATCTGTTACGGTGATCTGTGATCAGTGATCAGTGATCTTTGATGTTACTATCAGAAATGTTTTGGAGTACCATGAACCTCACCTATATAAGGAAGCAAACTTAATTGATAAATACTGTGTGTGTTCTGATTGGCTGTTCCCCCATCTCTCTCTCTCTCTCTCTCTCTCTCTCTCTCTCTCTCTCTCTCTCTCTCTCTCTCTCTCTCTCTCTCTCTCTCTCCCTCCCTCCCTCTCCACCCACTTTGGGCCTCCCTATTCCCCGAGACACACCAATCTTGAAGAATATCACATAAAGTTAGTTGATAAAGCAGTAGCAGGTTTTGCAAGGATTGACTCTGATTTTGAAAGTTCTGCTGTGAGTAAAATGCTATCAAACAACATCGCATGCTACCGAGAAATCCCTTATAAAAGGAGGAGCCAATCAATGCAGTAAACTTCACACCACAGTCCCCCCAACCTTCAGCAACCACCCTCTTGATCAGTCACAGCAGCCATTCCAGCACTGACACAAGAGTCTCCTTCAGTGAAAAGCTTACAACTCACTGAAGGCTCAGATGATGGGTAGCTTTATTTCCAGCAATAAATTATTTTTTAATTTAGGCATGTACTTTCTTTTAGACACAACACTATTGCACACTCAGACTATAGTATAGTGTAAACATAGCTTTTATGTGTACTGGGAAACCTAAACATTTCTGCGACTTGTGTTGTTGCGATATTCAGTTGATTGCAACAGCCTGGAACCAAATTGTGATATCTCCAAGATATGCCTGTATATAATAACATTGTTGCTGTTGTTTCTCATCCTTTGTTTTGGAAGAGGACCAGTGGCATCATGGATGATGTCTTGACTTACTCATGAAATTGGACTTAAGTGAGGCAGAGTTGTTCAGTCTCAGCCTCATTCTCTCTTCCTGAATCATCAAAGTCCAGGGACAGAATAAAAGTCAAGACAACTAGAGAGGGCCCAAGATGCAGCAGATGACCTTGGCGTCTTTGATGGCTGGCCAAGTTTTAAGCACTCCCCAGCGCCTGCTTCAGCCGCCTTCATGGCTACTGGAGCAAATTGTTCTCCTCTGCCCATTTCACCCAGGGAAGTCTTCACAAGCTTGGGGTAGACACCCCCTCAACTCAGCAATGGGTGTGAGATCTCTCAGTTCCCCTCACCCCGGTTGAGGACGTCTGCTGAGACTGTTTACTGGGGTGTGGTCTCTGCACATGCTACAGATTCTTGGAGCCACAGGGGACAGTTAGGTGACAAGTGGAAGAGCAGCACTGAAAAGGCTCAGCAGCCCTCATACCAGAGGTATTAGCCCTCTCTGAATACCCCATATAATATACATCTATAACATACGACATATGTTTTTGTATATTTGTGTATGTGTGTGCATGTGTGTGTGTGTATACACATACACACAGGATAAAGGTGGGAATATGAACTAGGAAGGTGAAAGGCAACAATCTTCCCTTCTTTGCTTAGTTCTGATGTGCAACTTTATCACTTCACCAACTAGAGAGAATTTTAAGTTAGCCTTATGGTCTCAGCCTCTGCACAGCTCCTGGAGAGGGGGGGGAGGAGATTGGACAGAATCCCTGATTTGAATTTGTGGAACCTGGGATCCCCATTAGAGTTTAATGAACCACAAGGAATTTCTAATCCTGAGTCACACAGTTGTCTGGGACCATGGACTTTTAATCAGGATCAGATACAAGAAGTCCTAAGAACCGACTTAATCTTAGCCTTTATGTCAGCTGCCCTTAGCTGATATGGGATGATGGCTCATAGCCTCAGCAACTCATTAAAGAGCTGACAGCTTGAATTTGTTAGAAATGGCTTTCTAGTGACTGCACCTTACCAAATGCAAGCTGAGAGGAAGCAGGGGGAAGGGAAGGGCAAACATTTATTAAGTTCCTACGATGTGCCAGGCATCATGCTTTTACAAACAGCATGTCATTTGATCATTTAATGGCTGAGAGCTTAGAAGATGACACTGAATGAATGAATGAAAAAGGTTTTGTTTTCTGCATATGAAAGCACCAGAGATACAAATAGAAAAGCGAGACATTTTCTGCTCACAAGGAGCTCCCATTCTAATGAGACAGACAACATGTAAATGCATAAATATATACAGGATACATACAACATGATGCCACATCCAGAAACGGGCCAGCCAGCAGAGATGATAAGCTTACCAGAGAACAAAGATGGCACCCATCACAGACCAGCAGGGATCAATATAATCACATTTGACAATGTGAGACGTGTGCATAGTCAATATGTGGGTGCCTTCCGCGTGTATTCCTTGGTCACATGGGCTCCTGGAATGTGTCCCTTCATGAATTTCTCTGTGTAACGTGTGTTTTCTCTATGCGGCCTCTATGAATGTTTTCTGTGGGTCCTCCTTTACTATTATTATAGTAGACACGAGGATAATATATCCCACGTGTTTATGGAGTGATCTTCTCATGCCACTTTATTTGCCATTCTATTGGATTAAATGCCTTTCACTTGGAATGAAGGTGTCCTCTAGCTGGCTTTTCAAAATAAATATGTCAATGGGGGGAAGGGAGAGGGGTTTTGAGTGAGTGCTAATGTTAAAATGCTCCAAACAGAGAAGAGTTCTTCTTAGAAGTCAGCACAAGAGAAGTGACGGTACGAGAATATGAACGCCTGCCAGCTTTACTCAGCTGGTGTACGGATCATGTGATATAATGGACATGAAAGAACTCTAGTGTGCTTA